CGACCAGCTGCCTCTTGCACACTCCCTGATGTGCCCGCAACCAAGGTACATGCCTCTGACTGGAATCAAACCCGGGACCTTTCAGTTCGCAGACCGACGCTCTACCACTGAGCCAAACCGGTTTCGGCATCCCTAATTTTCTCTAGCAACATTTTTCCTTTGCTTTGACCAGTTGAGCTCAAAAGGGTTGGAACCTAAAGTGAGCATCAACTCTTATTGGAATAGCACTTGGGAAATGCAATCCTGGAGAAGGCAATTTGTAACTGAAGGTCTGTTGAGTGTCCACCCCCATGCAACCACCAGGCTAATAGCTCCTCTCATGGCCAGATCACATGACTCACGGTCCCTGGTGAGGTGCTGGGGAGAGCTATGTGCACAAGCACCCATCCATGTGAGCTTTCAATAAATACAAAGCATTGTTTAAAACCCTGTCAGCAAAATAAATAAGAGATGCCGCATTCCTATTGGCCTGTTTCGCCTCTTGAGCTGGCGTGGAGCACTGTTCATGACCCGGAAGACACAGAGTTAATTAGTTGCCACTCCAAGCTCTTTAGACCTCAGTACCACCTGTTCTTCCAGCCTCAGCACCTTTTTGGCAGCGATAATAGTATTCTTCATTAGCATCGCCACTGTCATGGGACCAACGCCCCCAGGGACCAGAGTGATGTGACCGGCTTTTTCTGGACTTCTTCAAAATCCACATCTTCAACCAACTTGGGTTTAGCAGTGACGGGATCCTGAATTCTATTTATTCCCACATCAATGACGGCTGCTCCTTCCTTGATCATATCTGCTGTGATCACATTTGGAATGCCTGCAGCAGAGATAAAAATATCTGCAAGAATGGTATGTTTCTTCAGCTGCTCTTTGGGGGTGTATCGGTGAGATATTGTAACAGTGGCATCACCTCCAGGACGTTCGTGCGCCCCATCTGTGTGTAGCAACATTGCAATGGGTATCCCAACATTTTTGGACCTTCCAGCTACAACCACATTCTTCCCTAGGGTGGGAATGCCGGTTCTATTAATTATTTCCCACACGCCCCACGGGGTAGCTGGTAACATGGAATACTGGTCCAAACACAGTCGCCCCACATTAATTACAAGGAAGCCATCAACATCCTTGTTTGGAGAAACAGCGTTGCAGATCTTCCTCTCATCGATGTGCTCAGGGAGTGGCAGCTGAACCAGGAGGCCATCGACGTTATCATCATTAATTGATTAAGTTCAACAGTTCTTCCTCTGAAATTAAAGCGGGCTTCAAAATTGTCTCACTGCTGATTCCCACATCGGCAGCAGCCTTGGCTTTGTTGAGGACGTAGGAGTGACTTGCAGGATTCTCGCCGACCAGAACCACGCTCAGGTACGGCTGCCTGTTGCCTGCTGCCACCCACTCCTCCACCTCCTTCGGCACGTCCTGCTTGATCTGCCGGGCGAAATGACAACAGCTTCATTTGGAACAGCCGAGAGATGGAGCGGACGGTGGTGGAAGCAGCAGTTCCGAGCGGGCCGGAGCAGCCGGGTGGCCAAGGCGCACACGAGGGATGAGGCGGCCATGCCCCCGCGCCCGGCCTCGGAGCCCGAAGGGCTGAATCTCCCTGTTTTTAGACACATTATTCACAATAGCCGAAAGATGGCGGCAACCCAGGTGTCCATGAGTGGATGAATGAATAAACAAAATGTGGTATCTGCAAAGAGCCTTAAAATTGAAGGAAATTCTGACACATACTACAGCATGGATGAACCTTGAAAACATCATATGCATTTGTTAAGGTTCTTCAGAGGAACCGAACCAACAGGATATATATCCTGACAGATTTATTTTAAGAAACTAGCTCATACAATTATGGAGGCTTGGTGAGTCCAAAATCTGATGGGGTTGACTGGCATGCTGGAGACTCCAGGAACAGTTGCAGTTCAAGTACAAAGGCTTTCTGCTCCCAGAATCTCCTCTTGCCCTAGGGCAGTGTTTCCCAAAGTGTGGTACCATACCCCCAGGGGTATGGGAAGAGTTTGGTGGGCGTATGCGTTGCACTGGAGTTTGGTGGGGATATGCACTGCACCGTGCTTAGCTGCGCCTAATTCTACGTTCTCATGAGTATGAGGGATACTCAGCATTGCAAAAATTATAGAAGAGGTACACATATGTCAAAAGTTTGGGAAACACTGTCTAGGGAGATCAGTTTTTGTCCTGTTCTGGCCTTCAACCAGGTGAATGAGGCCCACTTGAGTTATCCTATCTAATAAAGAGGGAATATTTTAATTGACCATCACACTCTCACAAAGATGGCAGTGCCCACAGATAAAAAGGAGGGAATATATTAATTGACTGGCACACCCTCAAAGATGGTGGCACCCACAGCCAAAAAGGAGGGAATATGCTAATTGAATGCCATGCCCTCAATAATGGCGGTGCCCACAGCCACAAGATGGTGGCGCCAAGTTCACTCAGCCCCACCGGTGGCTGGCAGGTGGCATGGCTGGGCCTGCCCTGTGCGCCTGCCTCCGGATTCTCCTAGTCACCTCAGCCGCTCCCAGCCACCAAGGCCGTCCTGAGGTGCAGGCAAGTCTCATATGTTCACTGCCCAGCCAATGCTTGAGTTGCAGGCAAGCCTTGGACGTCAGCTGCCCAGCTACCCAGGACTGGCCTGAGGGATGATCAAACAACTGAACAAGCAGGCTGTGTGGGGCAACCAGGCTGGCAGAGGGGTTAGTAAGGGATGACCAAACAACTGAATAAGAAGGCAGTGTGGGGTGACCAGGCTGGCAGGGGGGGCAGTTGGGGGCGACCAGTCTTGTGTGTGGGGGTGCAGTTGGGGCAACCAGGCTGACAGAGGGGGCAGTTTGGGGCAATTAGGCTGGCAGTGGAGGCAATGAGGGATGAGTAGGTCAGCAGAAGGGGCAGTAGGGGGTGACCAGGCCAGCAAGAGGGGGGCCAGTTAGGGGCGACCAGGCAGGCAGGCAGGTGAGCGATTAGGAGCCAGCAGTCCAGGATTGTGAGAGGGATCCTGGATTAGAGAGGGTGCAGGCTAGGCTGAGACCTTCCCCCCCCCCCACTCCTGTGCATGAATTTTGTGCACTGGGTCTCTAGTAGAGAATAATGTGCTTTACTGAAAGTCCACTGATTTAAATGTTAATCTGATCCAAAAACCCTCACAGAAACATTTAGAATAATGTTTGATCAAATATTTGGCACTATGGCCCAACCAAGTTCACATGTAAAATTAACCATCACACCTGGGTAATAACTATAGCCATTCATTTAGTACTTAGATATATCTAGTACATAGCATATTTTGTTGTAATTCTGTAAAGCCCATGAAGAAAGTTTAAGTATTCTAATTTTTATATGAGGAAACCAAATTTAAAAAAGGTTTTATCTAAAAGTTAATGAAATTTAGAAGCAATCAAAATCATTCTGATCACTGCTAACTTCAAAGAAATAAAATTAGTGAATTTGACCAAAGTGGGAACTAGTTCTTTGTTCTTTTCACACCTTTCAAAGTTCTCAGAACTAAGTTCTAATAGCCTGTTTCATGACTTTGGAAAAAAAGTATTGCCTTCTTCATGCCAGACAAACGGCATGATCTCTTTTAATCCTCACAGCAATGTTGAAAATTAAGTGAATTTATCAGGATTGGGGTTGGTGGTGACAGAAAATTCAAGATTGTTTAAAATAGATAAAATTTTATCTCTACCCCATTCCCCAGATAAACACAATCTTCAGGGTAAGCTACCCAAACTGGAAAAGAGCTCTATTCTCATAACTGATCTAGGTTCTGCCTATCTTTTGGCTTTCCAATATATCACTTCCTCCTGATAGTCCAAGGCAGATGCTTAGTTCCAACCACGTGTACAGTCTAGTCACCAGGAAGACAGGTGGTACAACAATGGATGTGCCCTTGCCCTTTAAGAACACTTCTTGAAATTGCATATGCCACTTCCTTTACACCCACGTGGTCAGAACTTAGTTATATGGCCACACCTAGCTTCAAGGGAGGATGGGATACATCTTCTTTGTTCTGGGCAAACAAATGCACAGTTAAAGAAAGAAAAAAAAAAAAAAGAAAAAAAAAAAAAAGGCAGGGAAGAGGGGAGAATGGGTATTGGAGGACAATACCCAGGAGGCATTATAATACCATTTGGTAGATGAAAAGTCAGGCACAAGAAGTGCTGAAACAGTATAGAGAACTAGTCAGTAACAATTGGTATGTGACAGAGGGAGTAAGCATTGAAATCTAAGTTCTAGAATAATTTTAAAAATAAATTAGAATGGATTCAAAGTTATCTCAACAATAATGTGTTTTTGTGACAATCTGATGTGCTTTTTGAGTGAGAGTTATTGCTGCTCCACTGTATGTAACCCGAAGCCCGCCTTTTACCTCTAACCTGAAATCTGAATACACCCATGGGAATGTGTTAAGCATGTGAATTTCATGCAACCTGTGTAGGGGGCGGGGAGATTGAAAACTAGGTACCGTGTGATTCTACCACCCTACTCCTCCCTTTTGTCATTTGAAACTTTATCTGAATGTAGAAGGAACTGCTTTCAGAGATGTTGCTATCACTCAGGTTTACCCTTAACCCCAAAAACTAGGATGGAAGTTTTTGGGGTTAGGGGTAAACCTGTTCTTTTCACACCTTTTATTTTAGGATGGAAAAATAATGTTTATTTTCAAATGTATTGACTAATAGTTAACAATATCCTAGGGGAGACAAAGAACAAGGAATATACTATATTGTCTAAGATCAAAATTATCTATTTGGGGTTAAACCAAAGTAGCCCATCCAGTTGGACAAAAGGTGGGAGAGACTATGGTAGAGCCAAGCACTGACATCTGGATAAACAGCTGGAAAAGGCTTTGCTATCAATTCTAAAAGTTCAGTGTCTCAGGAGCAACTGGTTTTGGGATCAATTCAGTATCTTCAGGGGGACTTTCAGACTTTGGTGCTTCTGACTGTGTTGACTTTTCTAAGTTGCCTCTTATAAGGGAGTATTTTTTACCCTCCCTTGCACTAGGCACACAGGAAATTTAGAGGGCCTAGGAGCCAATTCCTCTGCCGACCAGTATCACTGTCTCCTTCCAGTCTGATAGACTTAAATAGATGCCTTTTTCTTCTCCTGCTAGATAATCTGAAGAAGCGAGTACTTCTAATGGAAGTAGAACTGTACTTAGGATTAGCATATTCCTCAATATTTTGCAGAAGAGTATTCACCAAAATTTGGTTAGATTCCACAGGATCATTCTTCATACATTCAAGAGCTGAAATCAGAAAGGAAGTCAACTCAGATTCTCAATCTCCAAAGACTATTTACGCAAACAACATTGTTTTCTACCCTACATGTCACATTATAGTATAACTTCATTTAGAATGCTTTTTTTGTCACTATAAAAGTAATATTGTTTTATGGCAGAAAATGTAAAATATAAATAGTTTATTAAAAGGGAAAGGAAGCCGAAACTGGTTTGGCTCAGGGGTAGAGTGTCGGTCTGCAGACTGAAAGGTCCCAGGTTTGATTATGGTCAGGGACATATACGTTGGTTGTGAGCACATCCCTGGTAGGGGGTGTGCAAGAGGCAGTTGGTCGATGTTTCTCTCTCATCGACGTTTCTAGCTCTCTATCTCTCTACCTTCCTCTCTGTAAAAAATCAATAAAATATATATTAAAAAAAAGGGAAGTGAAAGCATTCAAACCCAGGAAAAAAAAAAGATATTTTCACACCTGTCCTTGCAGTATTTATTAATTATCTAACATAGACACCTTTTCAAATAAAAATAGGATTAGCATTTTTTCTTCCCATAAAATGTTACCCCATATAACACAATATCCAATCACATGATTCTACCATAATTTCTTTAATGAACACCTTCTTAATGAACAATAAAGGTGTTTATAATTTTTCACTGTTTTAAACAATAATCAACAGCTATTAATTTAGATTTACTATCATCAAGCACTGTACTATGTGCTGGAGAAACAGTGGTGAATAAGAAAGACAGATTCCCCACAGTAAAAACTTAACATTCTTGCCCAGCCCGTGTAGCTCATTAGTTGAGCATCAACTTATGAATCTGGAGGTCATAGTTTGATTCCTGGTCAGGGCACCTGCCTGGGTTGCAGGCTCCATCCCTAGTGTGGGGTGTGCATGAGGCAGCTGATCAATGATTCTCATTACTGATGTTTCTATCTCTCTCTTCCTCTCCCTTCCCCTTCCTCTCTAAAATCAATAAAAAGTTTATTTTTTAAAATAGAACTTAATATTTTAGTGGAGGAAAAAACAAGTAAACATAAATCAAGTGCAAAGAAGGAAATTTAACAGAATGATGAGAACAACTAACTAGGAAGGACCCCTTTAGATAGGCTAGTCAGGGATTGCCTCTCTGAGAAGGTAACACTTGAGCTGAGATGCAAAGAATGAGAGCCAGCCTCCAAGGCAGCCGCATGAAGATCAAGGGCAGAAACTCCAGCAATGGAAGGCAGGGATTGAGTCATAGTGCAGAAAATGGCCAGTGTGGCTGCCCCTTCTAGTGAGGGGGACATGATGTAGGCTAAGGTTGGAGAGAAGTCAGAAGCCAGATTTTTCAGGGCCTGTGGCCTAGGGTAAGAGACCAGACTTTGACCCAGAGAGTAGAGGAAAGCCACTGAAGGGGTTTAAGCCACGACATGATATGATCCAGTGTACATATTTCAACAAGAATGTGGCTGATGCATGGAGAGTAGTGTAGAGACAGTAACAGGATGTCAGGAGCTGTCAAAGTGGTGCAGTTAAGGAATGGGGGTGCATAATTAGAGTTGAGTGGGAACAGAGAGACAGAGACAGGAAATTACTTAGTGCAAAGGATAAAGGAGGCAGGAAGAGTGTTGGCTCAACAAATCTAAAAGCCAAGCAGGCCCATCAAAGTCTACAGCTTGATGTTGATCTCATATCATCAAGAACAGAAAAAAAGAGTTGGGCTTATACTATACACAAAAATATATAATCCTTTAAAGAACCACTTCTCAGCCACTGATTTGTGCAGCATTAGATATAGGTGAAAGTGTAATTAGAATGGTTTTCCTTGGGAAATATTTCCTTCTGTCTAGCTATTTCTAGGAGGCTTGGTGGGAAGAGGAAGGCAAGGTGAGTTCACTGATAGATGGAGAGTCTAGGATTTCCATTCTGGATATACTTTCTCTGAAATTGCCCTACGGTAGCTGGAATAGGTGACTACCATACAGTAGAGACCTCAACGGTAACACCTAAGAGAAGGCAGCCAAGAAACAAAATGTCATAGTCAGAACTAAAGCCAGGGTTCAAGCCCTCAGAGGGAAGATGCTACTAACTCATCATTAATGTGGTAGCAATAGGATGGCTACTCTCTGGGAAGCAACAAATAAACCGATATTTCCTTGGCCATAGCGACAAGTAGATTCCCTACCTGCCCTCCCAATACCACCCCCTTCCCTGGCCCAGGAGCCTGAGTCGGTTCAGCCCAGGTATTTTGTGGGACATCTATGTGGCCAGCAAAGCTTAGTGCTTCTCATATTTTGTGTTCAATCTTCAAAACAATGTTTAAGATCAACACCATTATTCTCATGATGCAAATGGAGAAACTGAGGCACAGAGGCAAAGTAACTGGCCCAAGCTCACATGGCTCATTAGCAAGAGATCTAGTATTTGAAACTGGTCTGAGTAATGCTGATTGTGAGGAAGAAAGTACCCCTAGAATCATTGACCATTTTACTCTCTGGACAAAGAGCGGTAAAGACAACAACAACTTGTCTGTCTCCAGACAAGATTCCGCCATTTCTTCAAAAACAGCGTTCCCAAAGTATTAGCCTCTCACCAGGCACCAGGAAACTCGAATTGGGCTCAAACCAGAGGCCAAAGCCCCCTGAGGATAGGCATCTGCAACACCAGAACAACAAACCTGTGGCATTCATATCAGGACTTTCAGACAAACACATAACACTCTGAACTACAAAAGGGCTGAGGCATAGGAACAGGTGGTATAGAAGCAAACATTCTCTTCATCTTATCTCTACATCAAGGAAGGAAACTGTGGTAGGAAAAATAGTGAAGAATAAATAATTCAAAAATCATTTCCATTTGGTACTGGAATGAATTATACCACCCACCATTGATCACAAGCAACCTAAACTTTTCCCAGCATCCATTGGTAGAGTTAAGAACTGTGTTCAATGCTGCGCCCCCCCCCTCAAGTAAAACCCTAAATCTTTTCCATGGCCAAAGGCTGAATGAATCTTCAGAGCACTTATCTAACACCTGTGTATTTGTGGAGGATGTATTCCTCCCTTCCCCACTAGAATGTAAACTGCGTGAAGGCAAGGTTATCAGTTTTGTTTACAGCAATATCCCATGCTTAGAATAGCACATAGCATATAGTAGGTTTTCAATAATTAACAAATTAACAAATTAATTTCTGGAGAGCAATGGCATGGAGTCAGCAGAAGTACATCCTATATAAAACATAAGTGTGGCTATTCAGGGACTGAAGGAAACTAAGGGTATTGAAAGTGAGGTAAAACTTTCTCTTCTGATAGACATTGAGAATAGCAGCTCCTCTTTCTCTACACCACCAACTCCCATTCCCTACCTCTTGTCTAGGACTTTGATAAGATTAAGAAAAATGGAGCCCTGGCCAGCGTGGCCCAGTAGTTGAGCATTGACTCATGAAGCAGGGGGTCACTGTTCCATTCCTGGTCAGGGCACATGACTGCTTGTGAGCTCAATTCCCAATAGGGTGTGTGCAGGAGGCAGCCGTTTGATAATTCCCATCATTGATATGATTACCATCATATCTAACTGGTATGATGATAAATAATGTTACCTTTCTCTTACTTCTCTGGACTTAAACTTTTATATGTAACATTTGTACTGGTAAGAGTAAATAATATTTAAAATAATGTGACATGTCCTTAAGGAATCCCCCTTTCCTCCTTTCTATCTTGCCTCACCCCCTTATGTAACCCAGAACCCAGGTGCAAAGCCCAGACTCACCATTTCGTAACAGCTGCACGTCTTCCTCATGTATGTAATGCAGGTTTATCTTCTCAGCTATTAATGCTAAAGATAGAACAGATGTAAAGTCATTCCAGAATTCCTGTGCCTTTGGGCCATTCCTTTCCCAAAGCTCAGTAGTGCACAAGGATTTATAAAACCAATTTAGCAAGGAATGCATGTGAGAGATGCTTTGCTGGCTACATGTCGGGGTCCTAGTAAAAGAACAACCCTCAGAGCAGCTGTGACCCAGGTGATAAGTGGAGCTTGCGCCAAGGATGTTAGACTTCATGGGGCTCCTACACCAATAGAAAGATGGACAGAGGGCACAAGGCAATAATTTACAAAAATAAAACATGGATTGCCAATAATCAGGAAAGAATGCAAAACCTAGCTGCTGATTAAAAAAAAATAATTATCCAAAACTACAAGCTTCTTTTTTTTCACCTCTCAAATTGGTAATGATTAAAAAAAACATATTACCTAGTGTTGTCAAATGTTTGGTGAAACAAATACTCATATACATACTGGTGACAAGAGAAAATGAATCTAACTTTTTAGAGGGCAGTTCCAACATCCTTAAAATTTGGCATATCCTTTGGGCCCAGCAATTCTACTTATAAGAACTGTATCTTAACAAAAACAATCATGATGACATGCAGAGATGTAACCACTGTGTTCCTGCCTATAAAAACATAAGATGACACAGTCTCAATATTAAAAAATAAGGACTGGCTTCATAAATCCATCTATACAATAGAATTAATATTATGTAGTCATTAAAATCAATATTGATGAGTATGTAATGCATGTATTTGTGATACAGCTGTGGACCAAAGTTTATTTTTTAAAAGTTTGCCCTAACTGGTTTGGCTCAGTGGATAGAGTGTTGGCCTGTGGACTGAAGGGACCCAGTTTCAATTCTGGTCAAGGGAATGTACCTTGTTTGTGGGCACATCCCAAGTAGGGGGTGTGTAGGAGGCAGCTGATCAATGTTGTTTCTAACTCTCTATCCCTCTCCCATCCTCTCTGTAAAAAAAATCAATAAAATATATTTAAATAAAAGATAAATAAAAGTTCTATAGATCCACTGGATTGAGTGTCCCATGACTGAGTGTTGACCCAGGAACCAGGAGATCATGGTTCAATTCCCAGTCAAGGCACCTGCCTCGGTTGTGGGTTCAATCCCCAGTAGAGGCCATGCAGGAGATAGCCAATCAATAATTCTTTTTCTCACTTCTTCTCTCTCTAAACTAAAATATATATATTTTTAAAGTGCTATATATATGTCTGTGCATATTAGTGTGTTCACGCATATGTGTGTGTTTGTGTGTGTGTGTCTGTATAGTATATTTTTAAGAAAAAAATTCTAGGGTGTTAGTAGTGGTTAAATCCAAATGATGTAAGTTCTGGCATTACTTATTGTCTTCTTACAGCCAGTGTGAATATTTTATGCTTTCTAACATTAACACATACTGTTATCTATATACTGTATATAAAAGCCTAAGCAATCATCACAACTGAACAGAAGACCAAATAGGCCGGCAGGGGGGTTAGTGAGGGGTGACAAAACAACTGAGTTGCAGGCTGCATGGGGTGACCAAGCTGGCAAGGGGGTTACTGAGTGGTGACCAGATGACTGAGCAGCAGATACAATAGCATGGGGTGACCAGGCCAGCAGGGGTGGGCATTTGGGGGCTACCAGGCCGGCAGGGTGGGCAGTGAGGGGCAACCATGCTGGCAGAAGAGGACAGTGAGGGGTGACCAAGCCAGTGGGGGGGGGGGGATTTGGGAGTGACCAGGCTGGCATGGAGGCAGTAAGAGGAGACCAGGCCACCAGTGGGCAGTTAGGGGCGACTAGAATGGCAGAGAGGGTAGTAAGGGGCGACCAGGATGGCAGGGGGAGAGTTATGGGCAACTAGGCCAGTGGGGGTTAGTTTGGGGGTGACCAGGATGGCAGGGGGGCAGTAAGGGGTGACCAGGCTGGTGGGAGGAGGTGTAGTTTGGAGCAGCTGGGGGTGACCAGGCCAGCATCAGGGCAGTTAAGGGCAATCAGGCAGGCAGGGAGGTGAGCAGTTAGGAGCCAATGGTCCTGGATTGTGAGAGAGATGGTCTGACTGCCTGTTTAGGATCGGGCCTAAATGAGTAGTTGGATATCCTCCCGAGGGGTCCCAGTTTGGAGAGGGTGCAGGCTGGGCTGAGGGGGACAACTCCGCACCCCATGCATTAATTTCATGCACCCAGGCTGTAGTTATAGTTTAAAACAAAAAATATTTTGGGAAATCCATGGGGTTCCAGTTGAAGCAAGTGTTTTCCTTCCAAATGCATACATTTCTCTTCCTCACAAAGCAGCATGCTGACAAAGTGGGTAGATGCACACAGAGCCAGGACAAAGGCAGATAGCTTCCTCTTCCTCCCCAGGCCTTTCTAACACAAAATTTGGGGTCTGACAGCTCAACATCTCTAATCAGGTCAGAGCTAGGAAAGAATGTGACAAACTTCATCATACCATGGTTCTGGCTTAACCCTTTAGCAAAAGGTCAAGAAGAGCTTTCCTGCTGGAGAGAAGGGAAGAATCAACAGGAGGGACCACCTTACCTATGAAATGGACTGCAGCTGTCCGTAGGAAGGACTGCGAGCTCTTCAGGAAGCCGAAGCTCTGAAACAGTAACTCCCCCACTAATTGTCTTTTGCATTTGCTCACCTGTGAAGTCAAGAGGAGTAATGCTGACAAGGAGAGGGGGGCTGCTGGGAACTCTACTGGAGACCTCCTTGCAGCCATGGCCCTCACACCTTGCTCACAAGCAGCAGCATTTTCTGTCTTCAGTCAGCTTAAACTATTTGAACCTGTACACTCAGAAAGTCCCACCCCAGGAAAAGTGCAGACTCAGCAGGAAGTTCATAAAGAGAATTTTGCTTCTTGGTAAAGGAGAAAACTGATGTAGAGCCAGGAGAAAACTGATGTAGAGCCAGGAGACCCAGGTTTGAATACTGGCCCTGACGCTGCCTCAGTTTTTTTCATCTCAAGTGTTGAAATAAAACCTGCCTAACCTACCAATGGCTCCAATGGGATAACGGATGTAAAAGTGTACACTGTAAAGTGCTCTTTCTATGTAAGGCACAAATACTAGAATTACTCGTTTAGTTCCTAACCTACTTGTGTAGCCCTTAAATGTTTACTTTTTAACAAGACTCCTATCTATGACTTGTTCTTGACTTCACTGAAGTCACTGAAACCACAGACCTTTATCACCATGACTGCTGATCTCAAGCCCTGAGGACTCCTGTCTATATCTCTCCCTCTAACCAGAAGGATTCTATCCCATTGGCATTTAATAACCTTGCATGACGTCCCTAGCCACTGAAAGCAGAGTTTGGGATGCTAAGAGGATCAGATATGGAGAACCTGGGACTGGCATCCCAAATGTGGGTTCTCAGAGTTTGCTGATGAGAAAGAATGAGAATCAAGGAAAAGAAAGAATACATCTTCTGTCAGCCCTCTCCTCTTTACCCACCTAGCCTGCCAGTGAGTCCATAGCATGCATATTGTAGCCCAGCTTCCTCAGAGACTCTCACTCACCAGGTACTTGCATGTTTCTTCCAACACCTGGATGTGATCACTGAGGGTGGTATGCTGAAACATCTGTGTGAAGGATGTCCAGCCAATCACAGTAGTCCACTCAGTCAGGGCCGCTCCACAGGCCTACGGGATGGAGACAAGGACATCCTAAGTCTCACTTCTACAACTCTGCAGAGCCAGGCCAGACCATGAAACTAGCCCACAAGGGGTTTGGTTGAGATTAGTAGCTGGGATCAGGGGCCTTGATCATGTCAAAGTACATAAATAGCTTCAGGGAGCAAAATCATATCAGCCTAAGACTGATGGCATCCAATAGGGGGGAAAGTGCTCAGATTCAACCCAGAAGATGTTAGCAAAGAGGCAGAGAGTGAACGCAGATCCCAGACCAGGCTCATGAAAGAGGACTAAAGGGAGGGGCTGTGCTCTAGCAGAAAGGGTTGAATCAGGCTGAGGTTGGCAAGACAGAGGTCACCAGTACCTTGACCACTTCGGTGTTGTTGTCCTGAAAGCTAAGCAGCAGAGGCACTAAGAATTTGTACAGATGTTTCTGGAAGGCGTATCCAGGCTTGAATTTGTTGATTTTACGTAACATGTGCCCAAGAGCAGAGATGGCTGTGATCCTCACCTGGTCCCTCTCCTGCCATGAGGAGCAAAATGGAGGTGAGGAGGCTATGCTTTCCCTCTGGCCCTGCTTGGCTTGGCTTTCATATGCCCACATTTCATTTTTCATGTCCAAAGGACACTGTTTTTACATACTGTAAAGGCAACATAATTTGTGTAGTGTAGCCGAGTAATTCTCTTTAGCCCCCTAGAGCTAATAAGCCCTCTGGAGTTGTGGCACTGTGCTTGGGAAAACTAAGATTATAATTTCAGTTCTGCCATGGATCATATCTACAACATATCACTTTATTCTCTTCTGAGGATTTAGCTCAAGTATGACAAATCTTAAAAACATTAATTGTCCTAGTTATGCTGTAATTGTTTAAATCTGTATTAGCTTGTGTTAATTAGCAATGATCACATCTAGCAAAACTTTATACACTTTCAAGAGTATAGTATATATTTATTAATTGAACAAATATTTATTGAGCACCTATCATGAACTAGGCACAGTACTAAATAGCAGAGATGATGGGACAAGACAGTTCCTGAATTTGTAGGATATGGAAAACAGGTATTTTAACAAGTGGAATTATTTTTTGCACAAAACACATATGGCTAAAAGAAAGATGATTCAATGTTAGCCCTTTAATTAAAAAACAGGATCCAATACAGTGGTGGAGTAGGTGGAAGTTACACTCACATCCTCATTTGTAAGCATCAAACCAGAACTACAACTAAATTTTAGAACAATCCACCTAAATAACCAGCTGAAGTCCAGCTGAGCAGAAGTCTTATGACCAAGGATTTACAGAAGAAGCCACATGGACACTGGTAGGAAGGATTAAGGCACAAAAAGAGCTGGTCCCACACGTGCAGCAGTTGAGAATCTGGAGAGATATTTCACGTACAAAGGTCCACTTTCAGGAGCAAAGGGCTCAACCCCACACAGTCTCCCCAGCCTGGAGCACCAGAACAGGAAGAGAAACCCCCCTAAGACCTGGCTGTGAAATTCAGCGGAGATTCCATCTACTAGGGAGAGAAGGGAGCCTGCCAGAAACCCAGGAGTCCTCTTTAAAAAATCAGTGCAGAAAATGTCATTTGCAGCCACTCAGCTTGGGCTCCAGTGGAGGGAAAGTAGCTCAGAGCAGACTGGAGTCATACAGGGAGAGACTGGGTTTTATGGCTTCAGGGAGAGAACTAAAGTGACAGCCACCAAGGTCCTTGTGTTGAATCCCTCTCCCACCACAGTCCACAGATGCCATATTTCTTGGGTTGAGCATTCCCCTGCACAGGGCATCAGCCTGTGGAATGCATTAGTACTGCCCTCCCAAATACCTGTATCTCTGCCCTGATAAACTTGCACCAGCCAGCCTGAGTTGGCAGTGCAGGCTTTCTTGGAAGGATCTTTAGAATGTTTAGGCAGATAAACAGGATGGGATGTCAGAGACTGAGTTCTGTGGCTCTAGGGTGAGGGTCTTTTCCCTCTCACATGCATGATTGGAGCCACCATTCCTGTGCAAAGCTGTCCATCCACATGACCAAATATTGGTCTATTTTAGCCTGATAAATTCTGCTGGCCTTACCCAAATGATGCCCTCAGACCCCACCCTATCACAAATGTCTGCAGGGCCCATGCAGGTTATAGCTGGCAGCTGGCAGCTGATCTTGGAGTACCATGAGACATTTGCCGAGTGGCCTCAGAGGCAGCACTGGCTCCAAGTTTGTATATGTATCAACCTGGTGAATACCACTTGCCCTACCTGGTGACTCACTGAGAACCTACTTCAAATTGCATATTGCCAGAGGCAGTTTCAGTGATTGGGCCCAACAGGTAGCCAGCAGGCATTTTGGCTCCTCCCACATTCACCCTTTTCCTGCAGAGGCTGTCTCAAAAGGTGGATTGTTTGTAGCTCCTAACAGGTAGCCCAGGGTCAGTTACAGGCAGCATCTGATATTCACCAGCACCAGAGTCCCTCCCAAGAGGCCTCAGAACCTGGTGGCAGGCTTCAGACCACATCAGAGCACAAACCAATTAGCTCCACAAGTGGCACATCGAAAGGGAGATTTTGGCAGATACCAGACTTCGCTGGGGTGAATTCTACTTCATGGGGTTAGACCCTACCCTGCAGCTAGTTCATACACTGAAGTCAGGGTCAATCCTCATAGTCAGCCAGCCTGAAGGTTAACCCCACCTACGGATGGGCCATCAACAATGAAGACTCAAAACAACCCTGGCTAGTGTGCTTCAGTAGGATGGGTGTCATCCCGTGCGCTGAAAGATTGCCAGCTCATTTCTTGGTTGGATCACATGCCCAGATTGTGGGCTCAGTCCCTAATAGGGGATTGTGCAGGAGGCAGCTGATCAATGCTGCTCTCATACTGATGTTTCTCCCTTCTTCTCTCTCTAAAAAGAAATAAAAAAAATATCATAAACATGCAACTAACATCAAACTCAACAGGGAAAAACTAAAAGATCAGAAGCAAGACAGAGATGTCCACTTCCACCACTCTTTTTTTAAAAAATATATTTTTATTGATTTTTTACAGAGAGGAAGGGAGAGGATAGAGAGTTAGAAACATCGATGAGAGAGAATCATCCATCAGCTGCCTCTTGCACACCCCTTCTGGGGATGTGCCCGCAACCAAGGCACATGCCCTTGACCGGAATAGAACCTGGGACCTTTCAGTCTGCAGGCCCATGCTCTATCCACTGAGCCAAACCAGTTTCGGCCACTTCCACCACTCTTATGCAACATAGTAATGGAAGTCATAGTCAGAGCAATCAGATAAGAAGAAGAAATAAAAGCAGCCAAACTGGAAAGGAATAAAGCTGTTATTATTTGCTGATGACATGATACTCTATATTGAGAATGCTAAAGATTCCAATAAAAAAACTAGAATTTATAAATTAATTCAATAAAGTATCAGAATACAAAATAAGTATTAGTTAGAAATTGATTTTTTTTTCTTTTTTTCTTTTCGGTTGCACCAATAATAAACTATTAGAAAGGAAACCTTAGAGAACAATCCCATTTACAACTGCATGAAAATAAAATAAAATAAAATAAAATAAAATAAATAGGAATAAATCTAAAGAGATAAAAACCATACTCAGAAAACTATGGAAGACATTAAAGAAATACACTGAAGAAGGTACAAATAAATGGAAACATATACTGTGTTCATGGAAAGAAAAAATTAATATAGTTAAAATTTCCTTATTACCTAAAACAATCTATAAATTTAATACAATTCCTATCATAATATCAATAGTTTATTTCACAGAACTAGAACAAATAATTCAAAAATTTATATAGAACCAAAAAGACACCAAATAGCCAAAAACAATCTTGAGAAAGAAGAACAAAGTTGGAGGCATAATGCCACCTGATATTAAACTATACTACAAGGCCACAGTAATCAAAACATCATGGTACTGGCAAAAAAACCACACACAACAAAACAAAACAAGACAAACAAACAAACAAAAAACATACAAATCAATGGAACAAAATGGAGAGCCCAGAAATAAATTCTTGCTTATATGGTCAAAAGAGTCAAGAACATACAATGGTGTAAAGACAGTCAATTAAATAAATGATGTTGAAAAAATTGGACAGACACATGAAAATAAAAATGAAACTAGATCCTTATTACATCATGCATTAGAATAATGAAAAGTGGATTAAAGACTTAAACCAATAAAAATTCTAGAAGAAAACATAGTAAAATCTCTGACACTTTTCTTAGCAATATATATATATATATATATATATATATATATATATATATATATATATTTTTTTTTTTTTTTTTTTTTTTTTCCTGATATATCTCTTTGGGCAAAGGAAACAAGAATAAATAAACAAATTAGACTATATCAATCTAAGTTTTTGTATAGCAAAGAAAACCATCAACAAAGTAAAAATTCATCACAGCTGGCATGGCTCAGTGGTTGAGCATCAACCTCTGAACCAGGAGGTCAGAGTTCGATTCCTATTCAGGGCACATGTGTGGGGTGCAGGCATATGGACATGCAGGAGGCAGCCTCGCCTAACAATGATTCTCTCATCATTGATGTTTTTATTTCTCTCTCCTTCTCCCTTTCTCTCTTTAGTCAATAAAAAATATTTTTTTAACAAGATAACCTACTGAAAAGAGAGGAAAAAAAAGATGGTGACTGGCAGGACAGAGGTGAGGGAGAGGAAGTGAGTGAGTGAGGATGTGAAAGGAGAATGTGTGGATGTATGTGGTGTGTGTGTGAGAGTGAGAAAGGGACAGTTAAATCTCACAGGAACAGCAGGGGCTGGCAGACCAAGCTCTCTTGGACAAGGAGAGACTACTACTGTTGTGGGCACTCCCTGAACTGCAAGACTCAGGCATGGAGCCCATACCATCTTGAAGGGGACAGCGGCCTCTTCTAGGAACTCATCAGCACCACCACCAGACAAGACTTTGACACTGACTGTGACCCAGCAGCCACTCCAGCCAAAATTCTGCTATACCAGCTGCAGACCTGCGGATCCTGGGCACTCCACCTCCAAAGGTGCACTGCTCGGCAGCAGTAAGTGCATCTTCCCCTTCCCCAGCAGCAGAACTCTGTACACAACTTTTGCACGTTTCTAGCCGAGTTCAAGCATCCAGGGCACACCACTTCTTAGGCAGTACCTTGGAGCCACTGGGAGCCCCTCCTAGGTGTGATTCTGTACAGACAAGGGCATGCTGCCCTGTAGTAGAAATTCTAAACTCCCTCCTCCTGAATAATTGCCCACATACACCCAGCTGCTTAACTTCAGCACCATGGCCCCTCAAAGTGTGTCAGACCTCTGTGCCAAAAGCACCGCCAGCTCTCACATATTTCCTAAGGGAAGGCACCCTGCACCCATCTATCCACAGGGCACTTGTGGGAGCTGCTGTGAGTCCTTGGAGTGTGATCTCAGACAAACAGGGATGCACTCCCCCTGGCAGTAGAAATTCTGAATTTACTCATCCTGGATACCTGCACACAGATACCTCAATTATGCGGCTTTAGTT